CCTTGCAGAATATTTTTTAAATATTCCTATATACTTCCAGTTATATCTGAAAACATATCCCAGAAAAATTCTAGTTTTTATAAATATTCTGGGTATAGTTCCACCCTCCTTCTCACAAACAGCCAAATGAGAAGCGCGCTCTGACAAATATGCGTTCTTTTTCTGCGCCCCTCAAGTCAGTCAATGTTTGTCCTCTGAAATTTGTCCCTTTCGATTTCCTTCTACCTCTGTGTGAGTGGAACCATGTTGAACATAGCTGAACATATCAAAACAAACCTGATTGATAACACTTGAGTAGTTCTTTCTCACACTTTCTATTTTATTCGAGGGGTATGTGACCCCAAGGATACTGATAGAATATTTGAACTATTTTGAACTACACTTCAACAATCATCGAATATGTTGAAATGAGCCAATGAGCCTGTGGTCTCCTTTAGTTATCTCTGATACCAACCAAAAATCCGCCGGCCTGCCGGCGTGTTTTGTGGATTGTTTTGGTTAGTGTTGCTTGTGTTGGTTTCAATCTACGGTTTGTCTCTCCGCGCGGATTTTTCGACAGCCTGACCCCCCCCCCCCGCCCCCCCCCGTAGTAGCAGTAGTAGCAGCAGCAGCAGCAGTAGTAGTAGTAGTAGTAGGTAGTAGGTAGTAGGTAGTACGTAGTAGGTAGTAGGTAGTAGGTGGTACGTAGTAAGTAGTAGGTAGTAGGTAGTAGGTCGCTGGATCAGAATAGACAACCATTGGACTGAGACATGTCGATCGCTGGATCAGAATAGACAACCTCTGATTCGGATTCGTTCCATTTCATTGTAAAACGACTTCGCTTGAAATCAACAGCAACAAACTCTCCCAGCAAAATGTGCAACTCCAATGCACCCACAAGTCTGATTGAGCAGGGTATTCATTCTGGGTCTTTCATTTCAAACGGTTTGGAGAAAAAACGACAAATCATGCCAGATCTAGAAATTCTTCGGTCGCTTTGAAGCCTTCTGTGTGTGAAAAAGAATATCTGGTGCGTGTCGCAATCCCTCGAGACGGTCGAAAAAAAGATCTGAAAAGGAAAACATGCACACGGCCAAGTAGTTTGGAAGAAGAATCGTTTTCAAGGTCATGTTTTGTGGATAGTCTTGGTTCGCATTGCTTGTGTTGGTTTCACTTGGTTCCTCTTAGGTGATTCGACTGAGACATGCCGGTTCGGATCGCTGGATCAGAATAGACAACCTCTGATTCGGATTCGTTCCATTTCATGGTCAAACAACCTTGAAATAAACATCAACAAACTCACCCAGCCAAATGTGCACCTCCAATGCACCAACAAGTATGATTGAGCAGGGTATTGTATCATTAAGCTGCCTGCCAATGCGGGCTCGAGCTGGTGGCCGGCGGCATGCCGAAGGCTGTAAATATCACAATTATCGTACGTTTACCAAACTATCCCTGTGAAATGTGTCAACCTGTTAATGCGCACGATCGATCTCGAGAGAACGACGACTGAAATCTCAAATATAGACCCTGAAGTTCGGGGATGTTTGGGGCCTAAGTCAGATTCCGCCAGCCGCCGGATACTTTAGGCGGCTGATTCCGCCAGCCGCCGGATACTTTAGGTGGCTGATTCCGCCAGCCGCCGGATACTTTCGGTTACTTTGGTGGCTGGCCGGCTGATTCCGCCGGCTACTTTTTAGTTGGCTGGCTGGCTGATTCCGCCGGGTACTTTGGTGGCTGGCTGGCTG